AATATTCTCCTCTACCTGAATCATTTCTGGAGTTCCATCTTAAAGCAGAACATGTAAAAGAGAAAATCAGCAACTCATTTCTAATGTTTTCAAATATGATCTTCATCTATTTCTTCAGCTCCAGAATTTATTTTTTTAAGAGTTTAAATCTCTGGTAAAGTGTTCCTTCTGTTCATTAATCTGATTCTTGAGCTCACTGAACTGCCTTTCTTATTTTTCTTGTAGCTTATTTCTTCATGACAACTATTTTTAATTCTCTTAGATTGCAGTGTTCTGTGACTTGAAGTTTGGTTTCCGGAGAATTGTCATTTTTCTCTTTGTGACACTGTTACCATGGTTTTTCATGTTGCCTGATGAGTTGTTCCTCTGCCAGCATATTTTGAAACAGCAAATACTTTTCTTCTTTAGCTTGCCTTTTATCCTGATTTAACAATTCATCAAGTTGATAGCTAGAGGCCTTTGTTTTTCAGTAGGTGGCACAATAGCACGAGTTACTGGTTTCTTCTACCTTGACCACCTGTGGCTATAGTTGAGAATCAGTACTTTTTATGTCATGGTGTTTGATAGGTCTCTTAGGTCTCATAGACTTTGCTCATTTTCATTCTTTTTGGTTTTATTCCTCAGACTGGATCATTTCAGCACATTCTCTGTTCTGCTGTTGAGTCCCTCTAATGAATTTTTCAATTCAATTATGGTATTTTTTAGTTTCATGATTGTATTTGATTCCTTTAATAATTTCTATTTCTTAATTAATAGTCTGAGACATTGCTAATCTTGTTTCCTTTAGCTAATGGTTTCATTTAGCTCTCTGAATATGTTACAGACAGGTAGAGTCTTTTATCTAGTAAGTCCAATGTCTGTGCTTTCTCAAGGATAGTTTTCTGCTAATTTTTTTTCTGTCCTGTGAATAGACTGTTTTCTTGTTGTATGCTTTTATTTTTTGAAATTGCTCATTTTTAAATACTATAATATGGCAACTCTGGAAATTAAATTCTGCTCCCTCTCCAGAGTTTCTGCTGCTTATTGTAGGTTGTAGCTCTTTAGTGACTTTCCAAAATTCTTTTTGTAAAAACTGTGTGTAGCATGTGAAGTTTCTATTTCATTAGTTTAGTGGTCAGCTAGTAGCATTAGTTTAGTGGTCAGCTAGTAGTGTGACAGAACTTTCCTTAAATGCTTGAAGCTACAAAGAAAAGGAAATGAGAGAAAATACTCTCCTGGTCTTTGCAGATTGACTGTGTGTATTGCCCCTTCAACACTTACCTAGGGTTTACGGCTCCGCTTTAGCCTCCACTTCCTGCTTGGACTTCGATGTAAAGACTGACAGGAGGTAAAAGCTTAAGGTCTTTGCACGTTTTTTATGAGGATGTATCCTGCCTTGGGTTACTGGCAGGTCCTTCTAGATTCCTTAGAATATGAGGGTGCTTTTTGAAGCCCTTATTCCTCAAAGTATGTCACACCCGTTTTCCGGCCAGGCTTTCAACTCTGTCTGTTTTTTGTCGCAGCTACTATCTTGTGCCTAGGCGGCAGCAGCATGTTCATTTACCTTCAGAGTTTTTAGAGAAGCACCCTTCGTGTGTGGCCTTTTTGCTACCCTGACTGACTTCTGAGTTAGGTGAAACAAAGGCGAAGCCCCTTGTCTCAGTTCTCCTAGGAGCCTCCAGAAAAATGAAAACAAACACTGTGCCTTGGGAACAAGGTCTGTTCTGCTTTCTCAGAACCACGCCAGGAACACAGGCTGCCATTTTTTTGAGGCTGACGGGCAGAAGGTTGAGGAAAAGAAAGAAGAAATGCCATCAAACTATCCTCCTGGGTTTCAGGTTTTATTTTTTTGTTTGTTTTTTAAGCATTTACTTGGCTCCTATAAGACTTAAACTATTTTACAGACTTTCAACAAAATTAACATCTGCCAGTTTTTGTCAGTTTTTCTAGTGTTTCTATGGAGGGGATAGGTCCCTACAGTTAGTCATTAATGCCACTTTTGTTGACATATATGCAAATTTTTAATGGAAGTAGATGCACCAACATTTGGGTGAATGTAATATGGTTTTCCTATTAGTCCAAATATGTGACCCTTTATTAAAACTTTGTGTACTTACACTCTAGTTATGTCATAAACATCTGCATATATTTCAGGATAATAAGTAGGTAAAGAAGGAACATGGAAAATGTTCCATGGAAAATGACAGATATGCTTATGAATCATATAAGGAAATTTAGGGATGGAGTTGTGTACATATTTATATTCTTTGATTATAACTAGCTACTATGCTCACTCGTTTTCTACTATTAGAAATTAAGTCATTTTAGCTTCCTGCTGGTGGAGAAGGCAATGGCAACCCACTCCAGTACTCTTGCCTGGAAAATCCCATGGACGAAGGAGCCTGGTAGGCTGCAGTCTATGGGGTCACAAAGAGTTGGACACGACTGAAGCGACTTAGCAGCAGCAGCTTCCTGCTGGACTAGGAAAAACATCTTGTTTTAATGTTTTATTTAAAGTTAATGAATTCTGTGGATTCTGAGGAACATTAAATCTCTAAGAGGCCACTCACATGTTTTGACCCTGGAGGCCAGAGCTCATGTGTTTGTCCCATAAACCAGTCCTTCTTGAAGCACAGTGTTCAGTGTCTTTGATCTTGGTATAGAGCAACCACTCTCTTCGTGTACCCTTGTGGGAGATTTTCCTAAAAGCAAGAATGGGAATACTTGGCAAACTCTTTGGTTATAAGATCTCATCTCCCCAAATGACCATGTTTGCTGAATTATAATTGACAAGGATATTCCTTCACATGACAGAAAAAGGAAAATTACAGTAAACACACAACACTATTGGGTTTACTCATGTGAATATCTAGTGTAAGGAACAATGTGCTGAGGAACATGGAGCACTTTATTCATCAGATGTTATTATATTAATAGATGATATTTTCATATTAAGATTTAAATGGAATTTTACTCCCTTAGATGGAATTTTATATTAAGATTTTTCTCTCCAACTGAGTAGGCAAGTTAATTCCTTTTATTCTAACTGGAGATGGTTAAACATAAAATCTGGTTTTAAGGGAGACTTCCATGCAGTGAATCTAGCTGAAGTGACTTTGAAGGGTATAATACACCACATACAGATTCATTTTTCAATTTAAATTATTTGACAAAAGTGAAGATATGTTTTGTATGTGGTTTTCCACATGCTACATTCTGAAAACAAACTACATTTGAGCTACTTCCTGTGGTTTTGTCTGTAGCACTTTCCAGGAATGACTTATTTCAAGGCAGATTTTTTTCCTTTCCCTAATGCAATAATTGTCTGTAGAGGAGCAACAACTCTTCAAACTGAAACTCGGGGGGAAAAAGTCATAGGTGGCATATATTTAATACTTGGAGAAAATTAAAGAATATAGGCTAGAAATTTTTTACTCATCTGGGATAGGGAAGTTTTCTACCTCAGTCACAGTGTCTGAGAACTAGCTGACTTTGGACATAATGAAACATTATTAGGCTTTATAAAGATATTAGATGTGTGCAGTTAATAAGAATTTTGAGCTTTAAGGGAACAAGCAAAAGTAAGTGTGTAAAATAAAGAAGCTTTACTCAATGTAAAACTTGGCCTCAAACTCCCAATGTTGATGCTTGTCCTGAGTGAACTTTAGAAAACAGAAGAGTACTCTAACAGGTGGAGATTTACAGGTCAAATGCTACCTAGGTGTAGACATTAAACAAATTATCATGATCACTTACTGCTTTCCCATAAATGCCATTCCAATACTGAATTGATCATTCTGTGTACAGGAACTGGGAGAGTAAATGTGATTTTTAATATAGATTTTGGGAGCATGTGTTAAGGTTAACATAATTGAGAATTTACATTATGATTTTTGCTGAATATCATCATGTTTCTTCTTGCTAGCCCACACACTGCCCTGGGATTTAACTTCATATATCCTTGTAGGTTTTTATGTTTCCCATTCTTTACTGAATTTTATAGGTACAAAACGTGTAGTTCACTGGACATGCACTCGAGTCCTGGTTTGAGACTACATAGCTGGAACTCCCAACTAACAAAGATTTCCATGGTCTGTTACTCAGATCTTAAGGAAAATTAGATAACAAAGCCTAAAAAAGTTTATTGAGCTGACTAAAATTAACTGTGCTTCTAAATCCTTCTTTAGATACACCACCGAAAGTGGAAATTCAGGTTTGAGAATCTGAAAGTCCAGTTTCTTTGTGGCTTTCAGCTTCCAGTACTTAAATAAGTCAGATAAAATATACACTTCCTGTCTAAATGCCTAATTTACAGAGTTGCTGTGAAGAAAAAAATACCCTAACAAATGGGAAGGTGCTTTATAAGCTAAAATACAATATACAAACATGATAATGGTTACTCTCCTATATCTGATTTTCAAGAACGTTTCATTGAGGCCCTCACTCATGTTAGGATAACTGTTCTCTATCAGGGCTTACCAGGTGGCCCTAGTGGTGAAGAAACCGCCTGCCAGTGCAGGTGATGTAAAAGATGTGGATTCAGTCCCTGGGTGGGGAGGAATCTCCTGGAAGAGGAAATGGCAACCTGCTGCAGTATTCTTGCTTGGAGAATCTCAGGGACAAAGGAGCCTGCTGGGCTGCAGTCCATGGGGTCACACAGAGTCGGACACGACTGAAGCCACTTAGCACACACACACACACAGCCTCTGTTCAGGTCTGGGAATGAGTTTGGATGACTAGCCTCTTCCACACGACACAAGGGGCTGCTGGCCCCAGTGGGCTAGTTTTGTGGTTGTAAGTCTGGACTCCTGGTCACACTTCTGCGTCGGGGAAGAATTCATTCCTAGCTCTGCTGTGCTGCTCCCACTGCCTGTTCCCGGAGGCATGCTGGTTTAGTCATGTCTGCTTTAGATTTCTATCCCCGGAAGGACCTCCGTTTCCCAGGCAGGCATCCGTGTACTATTTGTCCAGCTCCCTGCCCCACCTCCTTCATCTAGTTATGATTAATAAGCACAAAACACTATTTGTAACCATACACATCCTTTATACTGAGACTGAGGAAAGTATAAGTTTTCAGTACATGACATATTTTCATGCATACACCTATCTGTACAATCCCAAGAACTGTTGAGGATACATTTCATAGTTTCTCCTTTACTAACATTATAGTTTTCTTTACTAATGAGTGAACAGCTTAAAAGCATGAATTCATAATTACATTGTTGTTTATTTCGATCTATAGCATACACAGACTATAATTTGCTGGAAAAACTCTTCACTGTTGCCTTGTTCTTTCCATGTTAAATTTAACCATCCATCTCTATAAATTAAGTTTACTAGGAAAACTCACATTAAAAAAAAAAACTGTACAAGAAACAGCTGGATTATCACAATCAGCAAGGAAATGGACTCGAGAATTGGAACTAGTATGTCTGGGACACTGTCTTCATGGTCAACAGTCACTTTATGCAAATCCCACTCGGCTTCACTTAATCAAAAAGCTGAAAAAGAAAGAAAATTCTGTGCTGAATATAAAACACAGTGTGCTTTTTATTCTGCATAAACTTAGTACAGGTAAATACAAAATAAAAATGCAATGTCATACACAGTTACATTAATTCACTTCATTGTAAGTTTACATCAGGGCAATTTCTGTGAACTAGATCCTGTAATGGGATCAGGTGAGACTAGGTCAGAGGTGGAAGCAGATGCTGATAAGAACTTGAATTTGTGTTGGTTAAGTTTGGTTAACTTCTGCGAGCCATTCTCAGTGTTAGTAAGACTACTAGTTAAATCGGTATTTAAACTGACAACACAGGGGAAGAAAGGGAATGAACTGAAACATATACTTGGATCGGGTCATTTCAATATTTTAGACAAAATATTTTTTCTGGTTATTTAATCAATATGCATTTACTTAAAATAACTAAAGACTTTTAAGAATTTTATAATTTCACTATATTGAACAGTCAAAAATAATTTATTATAAATCATAATAAAAGTATCATCAGATTCTGATGAAACAATACAAATAGATGTTTATACATAGAGGAAAAAAAGTAAAAAGTAACTATTTTTGCCTTTCTTGATTTCCCTAGGCAACACTTTTATCTATGAAAAGAAATGTAAGTTTGTAATATCATAAGTCAATTTGAATAACATCATTAAACTTTTGTTGGCTATTTGTACCTTTCTGCTAACGTGTAGCAAGTTTGCTTTTTATAGTCTTGACAACATAACTTTAGGACAACCAGAGATGAACCAATTGTTAACTAAATATTAAAACATTAATATTAAAAATATTAATGGTACTATAGTTGAAAAACCATGTAGTTGGGAAATTGTTCAAACTAATAACTTTAATACTTGAACACTTAAATTATAATATCCTAGGCATATGTTACTTCGTCTTTCTGAACCTCGGTTTCCTCATTAGTGAGAAGAATGCTTGTTTTGGATGATCTCCAAAGTTCTTTCCAGTACTAATGTTTATTTTAATCCTGTGATACTATGTAAATAGTAAAAAAATACATATATAACATATATATACTATATAGTGAATATAAGTATACTGCATATACTATATAAATAGTAACTATAAAGCATTATATAAAATATTTAAACTTATATATTTAAATACATATTATCTCTATTAGTTTATAATATATAATAAAGCAATTATGCAATACAGCCTAAACTTTTCATTACTCTATCTTTTTCTGAGGAATTACTAAGTTACAAGATAAAAATCAAGGGCTGATATCTAGCAGCAACAAGACATTATCTCAAAAAATAGAAGTAATAAGTTATGACTTAAGTCCTGCAAGGGTAACATTGCCATAAAGATCAGCAGTAACTTTCCTCAGAGCATTGCGATATTGCTGCTGTTCAATCCACCCAATTTTTAACAACAGTGGTGGCAAAGCAGGTGTTTATATATATCACATGTAGATGAACACTTTGGCTTTCTCTGTCCTCAGTTATAAGGTTGCCCTGAAGATAAAGCTGACAGTTAAAAAAGGAAACTTCACCATAAAATATTTAAAACTGTAATGAAAGCTGCAAAACATAATTTAAAAAATATTTGACAATTTACAGGGTTTTTTTTAAAAATAAAAATAGTCTGAACATTTCAAGCTATGGCATACTAAAGATCACCTTTTATAAAAATACTACTATCATAATAGCAAGAATATGACCCTTTATGATCATTTTATGCTTGCTAACTTTTTGGTTCTGGAAAGATTAAAAAGGTTCAATTTTTATATGTTGTATGATTATAACAATAACAGTGTGTTGGGGAACATGGGCAGAAGAGACATAGGTTTGGAGCAGGATGAGCTTGGCTTTGGAGCTGAGGCTGAGGTGACAATGTGGTCTGAGGTCTGGTTGTAGGTCTTAGGTCAGAATTTGGCCTGACTGTTGGGACTGAGAAGTCATCTCAAAGGAAAAAGGAAGGTCCAGGAGTATCACGTTGCAAAATCCAGGGCATAAGATATTCAAGAGGAGAGGGTTAACTAGAATCCTAGAAGGGTTACGCGGGTTGCCACATGAGAAGAGGCATCTGGGTTTGATTATGGGGTGGCCGCTGGAGACCATATTACATGTAAAACATGTTCCTTTTTTCCTCCTGTGAAATATGAAGGAGGCACCAAACAGTGGTTGGTATTTTGTTTAGACTTCTCTTAAGAGTAATTAATTCACCTGTTCCCCAGTGTTTTAAAACTTCAGAATGGATGAAGTGCTCTTGAATGAATGAATTCTGTCCAACTGAGATCAGCTTAAATTCCCTACCGAGATCTTCAGCTGGCCAGAATTTTCTTTTCTAACCTTCTCACTTCCTGTTCTCAAGCTGGGGAAGAAGCCAGAGACTTCTGGGTATGTCCTGGCACTCTGTCACACAGAAATTGCTCACATGGGTAAGAGGCCGCTACTGACGTCACCCTGGAGTCGGAAAGTGTAGGAGGGAGGAAAGGCCTTGGCTCTTTACTCAGAACAAGGAGAGGCCACCAGCAAGCTCGCGCCTGTTCCCCACCCTCGGAGCCAGAACTTAGTGAGTCACTGTTCTCGGGGTTTTCTAACCTTTATCTTCACAAGCGTCCTAAGGGGATGCCAGGGAGAAGTACATGATGGCCAGAAGCCCTGGGGGCTCTCTTCTTTGTGACAGAAACTTACCGAACCCCTAAAAGTCTGAAGTACATGATCTAAAATAAAGGTCTACAGAAATTCAGGATTTTATCAGCAGTTGGGAAACAGATCTTTGCAAGCAGTAAGCTTTCTGAATCTGTAGCTACACAGGGTGAGATCTGTCAAGTCTTATGACTGTTCAGGCCACATCCCTGTAGCCTACACAGAGGGGGACATTTTGGAAGAGGCTGGTAACATTATCGTTCATAACTCTATGTGGTCAGAAACATGGATGCTGGGTCTGGGGGGAAAGACCAATAGAGCTTGTATGTGGGATGAGGTTGGTGGACAGATAAAAACAGAACTTAGGAATCACAGGAGCTTCCTCCTCGTTCCCTGCGTTCAGGGGGTTGCTGAATGGTGGAGTTTCTGCCAGAGTAAGAAAACTGTATTTATACCATGAAAATAAGCCTCCAGAGCTTCCTCTGCTGTGTGTCTCTGCTCAGAACTTGTCTTCTGAGGTCTGAGGGGTGGGGATATGCGCTGCAAAATAAAAAAAGCCTAGATTCTGAGTTTTCTATTAAAATCACATTGGATTTATATAGAGGTTCCTAATATCTAGTTTTGAATTACCAAACATTGATTAAAAAATTAGTCTGTGTTTAGAAGACTTGTATTTTATTATTCTGAAAATTAAGACTTATACTGTTAGTGGGAAAAAGCATCTGACTACATTTTTCCTCGGCAGAATTCAGTATATTTCTGTTAGCTGTATAGTTCTGTTTTCTTCCCTAAAGTAATAAAACAGAAATAACCAAATGCAGTCATATTTTGTTTGAAGTGGAGGGCATAAGCATGCATATGAATATTATTGTTTAAAAAAAAATACTGTGCTTGTCAGTGGTTAATTCTGTGGACCAAAGTCTTATTACTGGAAATTTTATCCAAGGACTTGTTCCTGCAGCAGCTAAGTACAACAGCATGAGACTGGAATATGAGATCTCACAGTTCAAAGTTATCTTGCATTTGTAAAACAATAGTCTGCCACAACATGTCTTACTTATGAGATAAAGACTATGGTTGTTATCTGAAAGATGAGGAAAACTGAGGCTCAGAGAAGATGAAAAGACTTGCCTGAGGTTACAGTTTTAAAGTGCCATGGTCCAAATCTCATCTTCTCACTCAAAGTCCAGATCACTTTCCAATACACCACAGTGAAATACAACAATATGGAAAAAATAGTCCTTGAGATTCGATTTCCACTTGTACAATAGTATTACACAGACTTAGCACTGTATTCTTTATGTAGACACTCTCCAGATCTTCACCAACTCATATCTAAGTCTTTGGTCCTTCACGATATTCTTCAAAGCTGGAACTCAGCATCAGAAAAGCAATCCCAGTGAAATTCTTATCAATGACTTATACTGTAGGGGTTGATCACCACACCGTTTCTGTTTTCTATTTGTATAGCTTAAGACTGTATTCTCTATTTTCCCTATAGATGAAAGATCTACATTTAAGTAAGATATAGAAATGAATGGGATATTGTTACATACTGCATGTCCTGGGATTTTTTTGCCTTGCTGTGCTGGTTCATTAGTATACTTGACTCAAAATTCATCAGGAATGTCTTTCATGTCTAGCTATTATTCTGTACTTTCCCTTACAGAATGTTGATCGATTTTTTTTTTAACTCATTATTTCTCAAAGAACCAAAGACATCATGAACTACAGGTATCTTGCTAATAGTTTTTCTACATCCACTGTAAGCTTAAGTAGTGTGTATTTTGATGCCGGCCAGCTCGGGGTCATCTGAGGCTGCAGAAAGTATCTTTAGAGCCCAGGCTCTGGAACACTGTTTGCGCACACTGCACCCCTTCAGTGTGGGTAGAACAACCCGACAACTCCATGGGGGTGTCACGTGATGGGAATTCCACCTTCTGGAGTTGCGCAGTGTGGCAAACCAATGCTCCTCTGTCCGCTGTTTCTATCTTAATGGTTCCTGTTGCATTTAGATAAGAAATAAAAAATGCTTCTGAGTAAACATATTCAATTAATAAGTACATGATGAGCACCTGCTATGTGCACAACACTTTGGAGATATTAAAAAGGCATAACCATGACCTTCTGTAAAGTACCTTACAACACTCTAGAAAGAAAAGAACTTCAACACACAAAAGTTACATATGGATACTTAATGAAAAAGGTAATGTGGTAAAATGCTATTGAATAACCAAGCGCTGAAATGGCAAGAGGTAGGTGAAGTAATTTCTTCTGAGAAGGTGCAACATTTCATGAACTATAAATTGATGATGTACTTTATCCCCTCAAAATTCTCAGACACATATTCATTATTATGCCAAGTTTACAAATGAAGAAATAAGCTTAACAAAGTTGTTATCCAACCCCATAAAAACATACTTTTACAGGTGAGGGAAAAATGAGACTGAGAAATTAAGTAACTCCAAGTCCCCAAGTTAGTGAAGAGACGATGTAAGATTCAAACCTATATATATGCCTGCTGGGCCAGAGTTCTTAACTCTGTACAAAATGATATACTGAATTTGAACTCATGTCTTGGATTCTAAATATTTTCCCATTATACCACACCATCTCTCTAAGACAACTAAAGAATCATAAACAGGTAGCAAAGTGAGAGAATTAGTAGATAATGTTCTATGCTATTTTCCTACTCAGAGGCTTGATCTGTCAAATAGTTTTATAGAAATTCTTTTGAAGAAAACTTGTGAATCAAAGTGTGTCAGGGGCAACTAGGGGGAAAGTAATTACCCATAAGAGGAGACATTCAGGTATGAACACTAGCATTTTGCTCTTGGAAAATGGAACAAGCCCTAAAGCTAATCTTTATTTAATATACAAAATAAATTGCTACCACTAGAATACAATTTATTTTTCTGAACTATGGGTCAGATGGTGATTATATCAGATTCTTAATACCTTTGTTATTTCACTAATTTCAAAGGATTCAAGAGCCCAGTTAAGTTCCTCAGAAGGTTCAGAGAAAATCTGAATTTGAACTGAATCATGCAAATAAAAAACGTAAATCATGCAAATAAAAAACAACATTTGCTTAATCTTTAGCCAAAAAAAAAAAATCCTGCTCAGGAGAAATTACATATAAATGTGTAATACATCAGAACTAATGATAATAATCAGCAGAAAGTTGTTTTTGAGTAAGTAATACTATGTGCCACATACTAAGTACCAGGCAATGTGCTAAGTGGCTTACATCATGTAACCTTTCCATGATGTCAAAATATGTAAACATTTCCCACTTAGAAATGAGAAAACCAAGGTTTAGAAAAGTTATTTAACTTTCCCAAAGTAACCAAGTGAGTAACAGGTAGATTAAGGATTTAAATGACAGAAGTTTGCTTACTGAAACTTAAAAGATGATCTGGGAGAATTTAGTGATGGCATGAAAGATGCTGATACTGTAGGGGAAAAAAAAAAACCCTTAAGACCAAAATGTGGGGAAGATTTAAGGAAATAGGGTAAACGTGTAACAGACCTTTATCCCTTTCAGTAAGTACACAGATCAACAACAAAAAAACAGCAATGTGAAGTACTGAGAAAATAAGAAACACATGAATGTTTAAGGTTCTATAAAATGGAAAAGCAGAAAGCCAATTCTGTACAGAAGAAATTAAAGGCTGTCGATCAATTAAAAATTGTGAGGAAATAAAAAATTAGTTTATAGACATCAGTGGCATTTCTTGGTATAAAAGTTATAAATCACAAACTTAAAACACAGACATCAAATGTCACCAAAGGCTGGGGTATTACACCCAAGAGTGAATTGTGGCATTGAAGCTAAGCCCTGGCTAAAGGTGTTTTTCAATTAGCAGATGGTGTTATGTTCAAATGTGCATTTTCAGTAAAGGATATCTCGCATCTTATCCAGTATCAACCAGAGTAGGTAGAAGAGGGAGGTTTTTCCATTCTTTTAGAAGAAAACTATTTTTTGTCCTGGCAGCTCATCTCAAGGACAAGGAAATGGTCTTGGTTAAGGAAGTTGTTTTTTTTTTTTTCTACAAGCCTACTTTAGTGTATATTGGTACAAATGATTGGGGGTTGACTTAGCTCTTGGTCACCAGGGTTTATCATTCATTATAATAAGCACTAACTTCCTTTGAATACAGACATCCATGCGGTCTTTTCAGTAATAAGAGGGCAGGGCATATCTTCTGGCATATGGAATAGCCTTTCTCTTGTTATAATGATGGTGTCCAGAATCTTATTTTCTCCTTCCCTATGAACTATCATTTTCCAATAGGAACGAAGTTTTTTTTTTTTTTAAAATCAAATCATATTATGCTGGTGCCACAGAAACATGCTGCTGGGATTGCAAAGCGTCCCTCCAGAATATGGTACTATCTTCATCACTGACAGTGTCTCTCCCACAGAGTACCTCAGAAGGAAAAGGTTTCTTTTTTCTTTTGTACTAACATCTCATCTTTTAACTCCTGGAGAAGGAAAAGGCTACCCACTCTAGTATTTTGGACTGGAGAATTCTATGGACTGTACAGTCCATGGGGTTGCAAAGAGTTGGACATGACTGAACGACTTTCACTTTTCAACTATTCCCAGAATGACCTCTCTCTTCCCTTCTTTCATTTATTCCTTCTCTCACTCTGGCTTCTGCATTATCTTTGCTTTTTCTCCAGTGAACTAGCTGGATCAATACTTTCTTCCCCACTGTGCTGCCTGGTTTCTAGAATTTAGCTCAGGATTATCCCAACTCTCTGGTGTATATTCTCTTTCTAGTCCTTTGGGCAACAATTGCTCTTGATTTGTTGTTATTACTATTCAGATGCTCAGTCCTGTCTGACTCTTTGTGACCCCATGGACTGCAGCACACCAGGCTTCCCTGTCCTTCACCATCTACTGGAGCTTGCTCAAACCCATGTCGATTGAGTTGGTAATGCCATCCAGTGATCTTGTCCTCTGTCATCCCCTTCTCCTGCCTTCAATCTGCCCAGCATCAGGGTCTTTTCTAATGAGTTGGCTCTTTACATCAGGTGGCAGAAGTATTGGAGCTGTAGCATCAGTCCTTCCAATAAATATTCAGGATTGATTTTCCTTAGGCTGGTTTGATCTCCTTGCAGTCCAAGGGACTCTTGAGAGTCTTCTCCAACACCATGATTTGAAAGCATCAATTCTTCGGTATCAGCTTTCTTTATGGCCCAACTCTCACATCCATACATAACTATGGGAAAAACCATAGCTTTGACTAGATGGATCTTTGATGGCAAAGTGATGTCTTTGCTTTTTAATACACTGTCTAGGTTTGCCATAGCTTTTCTTCCAAGGAGGCCGAGTCTTTTATTTTCATGGCTGTGGTCACCATCTGCACTGATTTTGGAGTCCAGGAAAATAAAGCCTGTCACTGTTTCCATTATTACCCCATCTATTTGCCATGGAGTGATGGGACCAGATGCCATGATCTTAGCTTTTGAATGTTGAGTTTTAAGCCAGCTTTGGTGGTGTCATCTGCATATCTGAGGTTATTGATACTTCTCCCAGCAATCTTGATTCCAGCTTGTGCTTCATCCAGCCCAGCATTTCTCATGATGTACTCTGCATATAAGTTAAATAAGCAGGGAGACAATATACAGCCTTGACATACTCCTTTCCCAGTTTGTTGTTCAATGTCCAGTTTTAACTGTTGCTTGACCTGCATACAGGTCCTCAGGAGGCAGGAAAGGTGGTCTGGTATACCCAACTCTTGAAGAATTTTCCACAGTTTGCTGTGATCTACACAATCAAGGGCTTTGGCACAGTCAATGAAGCAGAGGTAGATGTTTTTCTGGAACTCTCTTGCTTTTTCTATGATCCAGGATATGCTGGCAATTTGATCTCTTTTCTAAATCCAGCTTGAACTCTTGATATGAACAATATATTTATTATCATAATCGTTCCTAAGAAAACTGATAAAATTTCCGAGAAAAACTTTATTCTGAAGGAAAATGATGCAATTAATTGAAAACAAATCCCAAAGCAGACTATAACATTACTAGGGTAACTCTGGCATATATCCATGGGTTAGATTAATAAGAGAATAAAAACGTTCTAATGCAAAGCACATGTTTTTTGTTCACAATGCTCCCATTTGCCATATTTGGTTAGCTAAAGGGTTATTGTAAATGTGATGAAAGGAACATATATAACCT